TGTCGCGACATTCGTCCCTGCCTGCGGCTTCAGCCAACTGTCGTGCTGATGACCCCACCGAGCGGCCAGTTGAGTCTGCCTCTTTGCCGCTTGAACAATGGTTGCCCAGTGGCGCCCTTGAAAGCGGTGACAGTGGATTCGCATCTCGGACTGGTCTCCGTGGGCAAGGTGGATGCAAACTTTTTGCGTGCTTTGGTGTGCTTCAACAACGTGAAGTTGCCAGATGATGAAGCATTGCAGCAAGACAATACAGCCACCTCGGCCATGCGAGTGAAGCGATCCTTTGATTGCCTTTTGTCGAAGACAGGGACATCTCCTTTCCAAGTGAAACTTCGCATGGCTGGCCCGGCTTCGGTTGTCAACTGGTTGCTCCAGGGCCGGACCGGAGAAATCCATCAAGTGGTCTTGGCCCAGACAGAGCACATCGAAGAGTGGAGTGTTCTCTGGCATGTCCCTGTGGATGCAGCCGCCAAGGACTCCGTCACGGCCTACTTTGACCGACTCGCCACGGCAGAGCTGACAGTAGATGACCCCCTTACGTTTGAATCCAAATGGACGCCTGTCAAGAGGCTCAATGTCATCAGAGACAGCATGCCGGAAGAGGCACGTAGCTCCACAGCTTGGACGAACACATTGCCGGCGTCATCCGAGGTCGCAGCCACCGGATTGGACGAACCGATGTGAACTGATGTTTGCTCCGCAGCAGTCAGTCGGAGACTGGTTCTGAAGCGTCTTGCTGATTTTCCTGGCTCCGCATGTTTGCGCAAGCATGCCCAGTCGCAGCCACCCGATCCAACGAAGAGATGTGACCTTTTGCTTGTTCCGCAGCACTCAGTCGGAAACAGAACTTGAAGCGTCTTGTTGATTTGCCTCGCTCCGCGCGCTTGGGACAACGTAGCTGCTCACAAAGACATTTCTCGGATTTGGCTCCTACATTTTCTGCAGTTTTGTGCAACTTCACGCAACATGTCGACTTCGCAGAAAAAAAAGCAAGGCATTTCGACATGTCTGATTGTTTGCGAGTCTAGCGTGGCTTCTGGTTGCATGCTGCGTCGCCATGATTGAAAATTGCGCAAGTCTGTGATGCTCCTATGCATCTCCGTTGTCATGAGGCCACTACCCTGGACTCGAGCGGACAGGCTCCGATGGATCACTGAGCTGGACCGTTCCAGTGTTTTCACGAGCTGGGATCTCAGTGTGATATTCTCTGTCGAGATTGTAGACTTCAATCTGGTTTGGCTCACTCTTCCTCACTGACTCACCCACTCGCTCATTCACTCGCTCACTCTCACTCACTCTCACTCACCGTCACTCACTTTCCATGCGCTCCACCGACCGACCATGAAAGTTTTGCAGGTCTGTGATGCTTCTTTGCATCTGCATTTTCGTCAGGCCAGGGCCCCGGGCACTGGTGGGGGGAAGAGAGCGATAGGCTGCTGCCACATCTTGTTGCAGTCATGCGATTAGAGTTTATAACCAAGAGATGGGTACAGCCTAGGATAAGAGTCAAAGATGGGTACAGCCTAGGATAAGAGTCTCAGTGCAAGGTACCGTCCGGACCCAGGACCCTAATCCCAGCAAGATTATGGAAGGGAGCATCAGGGCAACCCCATTATATGAGATCGTGGTACTGACTTTGTCCCATTATTTGATATCGTAGCACTGAGTTTGCCCCAGCCCACCGACCTCCGCCTCCTGCCAGGTGCGCCCGTTTATATTTTTTGGGGAGATGGCAAACCACCTTGGTTGGGGGGCCCCAAAGCACACGCCCGTCATTACATACCGATACACGTTGGTTTCGCGTCGCATCGTTGTCCTTCTTTCTGGTTCGCATGGAAATGGGACTTCGCCACCTTGCCCCTCGACACATGCACACACGATACAAGGTATATGTGTCCAGGCTCCTCCTCAGGTCTTATGATTTTAAAAGGAAGTGATGGTGTACCATGGCCTTGCCATCAGCCACGGTACATCTATTGTCACTTCCTCCCAATTGAATCTATGATAACCTTCGGCCTGTAACCCCGGTTCCCCCCGATCTCTTGTTGTGGGCAGATAGGCCTCTCTCTGGAAGGACGGACTTTTCTAAGTAAAAGAAAAGCAAAAACTATTTTCTGTTGCTTCTTCAAAGTGATCCCCTTTGAGATGGTCCATTGACCTTTTTTGGGATTGATCGAGTGGCCTCAAATTGATGGTTGACGAGGTCATTTTGAAGAAGCAAGTAACTAGCTATTTCCTGGAGAAGAACATCACGGCGATCACCAAGGTCATCACAGATGTGTGAAGAAAAGGGTGAGCAAGGAGAACTACAGCTACCTTGCTGTTTTGAAGCCAGGAGAAACATCTCGCCACTGCCTAGGCGAAACAGATGGACGCGTTACAGTGGCTGGCGGTGGTGTCATGTGGTTCCCACCTGTCAGCAGACAAACTCAACATGTACACGCACGAGACGTGTGACTGGCTATCTGTCTGCGAGAGCATCCACCTCTGTCCAAAGCACGACGGACGACCAGGTTGTCCCCGTGCGCGCTTTGGTTCAGCTGCTGCAAGCAGTGATCGCTTCAAGCTGTTGCAGGACAATCTCGGGACTGACAAAAGTTTTAGTTAGGCTCGCCATGACATTGCACACTTGGTCACGTATTGTGATGTAGTGCATATCGTCGAATCACGTATTGTGATGTAGTGCATATCACGAATTGTGATGTAGTGCATATGTATGGCATATTTCGATCTGAAAGCCTTAGCGATTTGCTTACACTGTTAAAAAATATGTATGTAAATATAGCCCGCTCCTATAATACTCCAGGGGATAGGATAGTTCCCCCACCTTGGCGGGGGGCAGGTCGGTTCGTCGCCTGACTCAGCACCTCCGTGAGCAACTACTCCAAGGCAGGCTCTTGCCTCTGGGCTGCAGCTCCAGTTCCGGGAGTTTTGATGATGAGTTTTTTTTCTTAGAATTTTGCTTCCAACGGACTTGGAAGCCGGGGTCACCGTGAGGTCTGTACGTCATTTAAATCACTATTGAAGATGCTTTCTGATTCCGGTAGGTTGAGTTCCGGGCATTTCCGATGGAAGGAAAATAACAGGTTCATCTTCAGTCCTGTTTCTTCAGTGAGGTCGATGCCTTCGTCCTTACCAAACGGTTCGGCTTCGGTCGAGCCGACACCACGTTGGCCGGTGGTGGGGACGTTAATGGGAGGCTTCACACTCACTCACACTCACTCACACTCACTCACATTCACTCACATTCACTCACTCACTCACTCACTCACCTACCTCACCTCACCTACCTCACCTACCTCACCTACATCATCTACCTCCCCTACCTCACCACCTACCTCACCTACCTCACCTACCGCACTCACTCACTCACCCACTCACTCACTTCACTTCACTTCACTTCACTTCACTCACTTCACTCACTCTCACATCCCTCACTCACACACACCACACTGGCATCACTCACTCACACTCTCACTCACTCACACTCTCACTCACTCACTGTACATGAACATACATACATACATACACACAAACTCACCCACCATCACCGCTCCATCACTCTTATACTTCCTCTTCCCTTCTTGCTCTTCTATGGTCAGTCTAAGTCTAAAGAAGTTGGTAACAAGTGGGGTTATCCGGTCCTTTAATTAATGGGAAAATCCACTATTAATGGTCATTTTCAATAGCTACGTTAAATTACCAGAGGGTATATTGATTCCATGCAGGTTTAGCAGATTTTAGCAGCATTCTAGGCATCGGTGAAAGCGGCCAAAGGAAACGTTTGGACAAGTGGCAGAAGGATGCTGAACGGCGAGCTGTGCGATGCACCCTGGCCATCCCTGGCCCATGACTGGGCTGATGTTTCGGTAAATTTGCAGAAAACCCGTGGGTTTTACATGGTTTCACCACCCCATTGCCTGAAAATTGAAGGGGTTCCTACTGTGATCTACCATGTAATTCAATTGGGATACTTGGGCTCATATGGATGTATAATCCCCTTTTTTTCAGGGGGGTTCCTGTAGATTTCACATACTCAACACCCAAAGACACTAGAAAACCATGTGAAGTCGCCGATTCAATCGACCAATTCCTGGTTTGCCGAACGAGTTGATTGCAATATTATGCAATATCTATGTACGGCCCTATTCATAGAAACTAGTTGAAACCATGTTTAATGATAGTTTAATGAGTTGTATCCCGGTACAGTAGCCCATCAATCACTATACCGACTATACCGACTATACCCCAAAAAAATTCCCATGGGATGGTACCATTGGTAGACAGGACGCAGCCTTTTTGTCATTTCAGGACAAGTCTGGCCGAATTATGACAAGTTCGCTGGTCACAATCACTGCAGGTCTGATTTGATAATTCACATTTGGGGAACCACCCCACACGAGAAAAAACAGCATTTCAGGATACCCTCTGGTAAACTAACATAACTATAGAAAATCACCATTTTTAATGGGAAAATCCACTATAAATGACCATTTTCAATAGCTATGTTAGTTTACCAGGTTACCAGAGGGTATTTTAATTTTAAGGCTGGTCAAGTTGGAAATTCTTCTAGTAATAGCCACAGAATTGGGACACACACACACAGAGAGAGACACGCCAATAAATGTATAATAAGCATACATATTTACACATATACATGTATGTTTCAAGACGATGAAACAAACTAACAAGACGAATGGCCAAGTAGTTGTGGTACCCCGCTTCAGTGATTTATTTCCAGGCAGATGTCTGATCTCATGACATCCTCAGCTTGTCACGACCAAAGACAGTCGCTTTTGTTAGTTGAGCTGTCGGTTTGGAGACACCCAGTTTGATCCCCACCCCAACGCTATGCCAAAGACCTGAAGTCTAGTGCTAAGTCATCCAGAAGCATCAAGAATCCAACCATATCCAACCGTTCAGCGTAGACTTTATCAGCCAGATCCCATCCATCACTGGACATGGGTTTTGGCTCCACCATTTCATGACCTGTGAGGTTTATGGTGAGCATGCTGGCAGCCGGAACTGGCGAGTTTTTAGCCAACCCTCCGGTTGTCATCAAGAACTACCAGCGCGCGCCCCAGCCACAGAGGAAGGTCCAAATGCATGTCCTGCACGGCCAAGGATCACCAACAATGTGGGTATCATCACAGTCCGTGGCCCAGTGACCAAGATGAGCCACCTGCTGGCCTGCTGGCCTTTAAGACTCTTTCAGAAGACAACGACAATGGAAAGTCACATCTTTTTTTCGGAAAACCATGTATGGACCTATGGCATATATGGATTATTGATGATTATTGGATTGGTAATCACCATTACCTATGATTTTCCATGATTATTGATGATTATTGATGATTATTGATGATTATTGGATTGGTAATCACCATTACATGATTATTGATGTTCCATGATCTTCCTAAAATCCTTGATTTTCCATCACCCTGGGCGCGCCTGGATTGGCTTTTTCAGCATTCAACTTGGCTCTCCGTGGCTCCATGGCAGGCTGTAGAAGAACTGTGGGCACAAGGAGGTCCACCCCGGTTTTTCAGTGGAGCCACTTGGTGGCAGACACCAGCGACTTTCCTGCCGTTTGGTGGTTTTTGAATTGTTGGTTGATGTTCGACATTGTGTAAAACCATGTTTAAAAACCATCAAAAGCCTAGAAATGCTTGATGTTCGACATTGTTCATGTTCAAACCTGGAAATGGGAAGATGATTCCACCTAGACTGGCTGGTGCTTGAAACCAGCCAGTGACCTTATACTGGCATATACTGGCTGTGGGTCGTGTTGACCGTGTTGATTGGAAACCCTGGCAGAAATCAAGGTTGGCATGGGCGTTGTGCGAAAATCCCTCGCCAACGGCGTGCACAGCTCAGTACCACCGAGACGTGCCAGTGGAGCTCTGGACGCTCTGGTATTTTTGGGTGTAAGCATTATATACATGCTCATCATCCATCAGTTTCATGTGAATCTGTGGTGCGCACCACCACCAGGTGGTTCTACAGACGTGCTTGCCTCAACCACATGGCTTCAAATAGTTTCTGGTTTCCCATGCTTATGTCATGTCACTGCCAGGATATGCCAGGTGTCTTGACGCATTCTTTTCTAGAAAGTCTTCCGGCAACATTTGTGACACGAAAATGGTGATCATGGTACAATCTTGCGAGAATCTTATGCCAGGAATTTATGCTCAAGCATGGGTTTCCTGGAGTCTCTGAATGTGAGGCGCCAAACTTTGAAAAAGAGATGCATGGATATGAGATGTCAAGCTATGAGAACCTCAACAACTTGAGGCCGCTGGGCCGGGCCAACCCCGTCTTTGATGCTACCCGTGCACGGAAGAAGGCGGAACAGGATTCCATCCTACTGGCCAATCGCATCCGCTTGCTGCGAGCGGAAGATGCCCGGACCCGGAAGAAAATTGTCGAGACGGAGAAGAAGACGCAGGAGATTCAACTGGGATTCATTTGTTTACTGCACTTTATTTTCCATTCTTGGCGCATTGTTATTTTCTATTCCTAAAGTCAGATTCATGATGATGATGATGATGATGATGGTGATGGTGATGGTGATGATGGTGATGATGATGATGGTGATGATGATGGTGATGCAATGATGATGATGATGATGATGATGATGATGATGATGATGATGATGATGATCATGATGATGATGATGGTGATGATGATGGTGATGCAATGATGATGATGATGATGATGATGGTGATGATGATCATGATGATGATGATGATGATCATCATCATCATCATCGTGGTCGGCATGATGGTGATGGTGATGATGATGATGATGATGATGGTGATGGTGATGGTGATGATGATGGTCGGCATGATGATGATGGTCGGCATATGTCGGCATGATGATTTTTGATGATGATAATTTTTGATGATGATGATGATGGTCAAAATGATGATGATGATGATGATGATGATTGATGATGATGATGATGATGATGATGATGATGATGATGATGATGATGATGATGATGATGATGATGATGATGATGATGATGATGATGATGGTGATGGTGATGGTGATGGTGATGGTGATGATGATGGTCAGCATGATGATGATGGTCGGCATGATGATGATGGTCGGCATATGTCGGCATGATAATTTTTGATGATGATGATGATGATTATGAAGAAGATGATGATGATGATGATGATGATGATAATTGTGATGTTGGTGCTGCTGGTCCTGCTGGTGCTGCTGGTGCTTCCGGTGGAGGTGAAGCTGAAGATGAAGGTGGTGTGTTGTGTTGTGGTGGACTGGTGGACTGGTGGACTGATGGCAACACAGCACCAGGAGATCCTGATGGCCAGGCAGCGCAATGAGCAGCGGAGACACGAGAAGGACCTTCCATGTTTTGAGCTATTTTGAGCTGCTGGGGGATTCAAACCCCTTTCCCACTAACACTAATGGATGCCAATGGTCGGTCAATTGTTTCATATGGTTTCATAGCCAAGACTTGACTTGTTTCTCACGGCAGCGAAGATGAGCAGCCTCAACTTCCTTGTTCCTGACATGAGAAACCGTCACCTGAAATTGGATCTGGTTACTGGGAACTTGAATGAATAGAGGATAATGAAGGTAAATGACCGTATTAGCATGTATTTGCTGATGTTTGTACAGGGCATGGTTCGTCATCGTTTTTATGTTTTCTTTGGTAAAACGTGGGAACTGGTATTAGGTGGAAATGGGGTCATGTGGCACAACTTTAGGGGGAATACAATTGATATCCTGCAACTGTTTTTCCTGGGTGCTTACACTTTTACACTTTGCCATGTGTTTTTCAAACATGTGTTCTTTGGGTTCAAAATCACCCACGGTATCCCACGGTAGTTGTGTGAATCGGTGCTGGTCGTACAATATTTGCACACTGTGTTTTTTTGTGACCTGTAATTTCAAACCTTGGAACATTGGAACATGGGAAAGGTGAAACAAAAGGTTAAGGAACGAAACAGAGATCAAGAACAGGGTGGTTTCACTTGAGCCAAAACCTTTTCCAAAACCAAACTCCTTTTCAGGAGGTCTTTGATGCTCAGAAGGAGGTCATGGAGCAGGACTTTCGCACCCGACAGATGGTGGAGCGTTTGGATCAGCAACATAAGATCCTTGACAAGAAGAGAGAAATCCAAGAGAAAAATGCCATGGGCGGCAATGCTCTTCGAAAGCAACGCCAGGCCCATAGGCAGATCCTGAATTTGGAACGGCAGGCCTCAGCAGATGAGGCGTTTGCGCGAGCCGAGCAGGTTCGTGTTGCGATGGACCGGGCAGCACAAAGCCGTGCCAGGTCGGAGGGAGCTAAGCAGGAATTGGCGAAGGATGTGTTGCGGGAGCGAATGCTCAGAGAAGAGGATGAGAGACGCTTGAGGCTTCAAGAAATTGATCGGATGGAAAGAGAAGAAGCCGATCTCTTGCAACGTCTTCATCGCTCTCAGGAGAGGCATCGAATGGCCTATCTGCAGCTGGAAGATGTTCTGCGAGGTGCATCTCCTTTGCCCGATGCCCATTTGGCATCCCAGGCCATCCAGGCCGACATGGCCACGCCGACGCCCAGCTCCTCGCGCCGCAACGCCGAGAGCCGTGAGAGTCGTCCCGAGTCGCGGTCCTCCAGACCTCCGTTGCCGCGGCTGGCAGCACCTCCCACCCGGGCACCGCCCGAGGTTCGAGCACCTCCTGGGGCCCGGCCATGCTCCGCACAGCGGCACAAGGCCAAAGCCAGCGTGTTGATGTCCGGGAAGTCCAGGATCGACACACCACCAGATGCTTTGATTTATTTAATTACTTGAGGTATCTACTATCTACAGTACATGATGTACATGACATGATTCCGATTGAATAGATTGAATAGAGTTGGAATTCCATAGTTTGAGGACTCTACTTGGTAAATTTGTAGGGATCACTTTTTCTGGGTGCCTCAGTCAGTGATTCAGATCCAAATGATCCAAGGATGCAGTGGATCAACTGCGGCAAAAACATTCACTGAGTGCCATGAGCAATGCCAGCACGGCCAGCATGGGTGAAAGCATCCCTGCAGAAGGCAGTGGACCGAGTGTTTCATCTTCGGCACCTCAAATTCGGTACACCACAGTGGATGGCGTTCAGCTGGACATTCCAGCAGAAGAAGATCTGGATTTGGCCGCGCTGCTGAACGGCCGCTGAGGCCGAGGTTTCACAGTTTTGTACAGTGTTTTTGGCAGTTGCTGAATCAATGTTCTTCTGCGTTGCTTCGTGGCAAAATAGAGTTGGAAAGTACAAGATGGCACAAGGACAGTTTGGCCGCTGGCATTTCGCCGTTGCAATGAGAAATTCCAGAAGATCTTGTTCTCTCCTCGCAGCCCTGACTTAGCTGGCATAGGCACAGGTACATCATTTGACACACTCCACAGCGGCACCCAAGCTGTGAATGAGATTTGGTTTCATGATTTATATGAAATCTATTGAAATTTGAGTTCCCAAAATATCCCAAGTTCACGGGATTATTCCACATATTTCCACATTATGACAAGTTTAGGGTAGTTCTCACGCCAACATTGAGGGCCAGGCCAGGTGGTTGAGCAATAAATGCACCTCTAAATTTGCACCTTATCAGGTACCACTGGCTCGCGATTTACAGTAGCAATTCACTCATTGTGGATGTCTAAAATTAGTGGCTCTTATATTTCATATAAATTACATGTTGTCATCATACAGTGTCTGACCTGTAAGTACATCTGATACATCCGAATAGACATAGAATTTAAGCCATTCTCGCTTAAAGGTTCGTCCCCTAGCCAGGGCCGCCAGGGCCGTGTCCGCCCAGGATTGGCCCGACCAAAAGCGTTCTGCAGGCTGCTTGGCCACAATTGCAGAGCAACAAGGCAGGGAGACACAGGGATCCCCTCGGGGAAAATCTTGGGCTTCAAAATGGGATCAAATCAATTTAGATCATACCCATAGGATCCATGTATGGTATATATGCTAACATTTGGGGTGTATTGATGGTAAATGTTACCATATATACCATACATGGATCCTATGGGATATAGATTCCATGCTCCAAGATAGGCCGTGGCTTCGACTGACCCCCACATGCTACTTACAGTAGATTACTTAGACTTAGACCAAGCCAGAATGCCAGATAGCTGATCACTGGCGATCGCTGCCTCGTAGTTTCAGAAAAAATGATTAAACAAATGCCTCAGGCAAATGTTGAAAAAATATGTCTCTGTGATATTCTGTGATGATTTGGGCCCTTGCCAGTGGATTTATGATGGGATTTATCATGTTTAAAAATGGCACCCTGGCGAATTTTCTCCACAGTCTTGTTTCCTTCATGTTCATGTTACCATCCTTGTCATCCTAATACCCATTTAATATCTTCATATATTGTTGATGATACATCCATTTTTGGTTGAACAAATTTGCAAATGCCAAAGTTTGCTGTTTGTACTCTCTGGTTTCTTGCTTGCATTCTCTATGTTGATGGCATCAAATCCCTCGCTGTTGGTTGCCCATTTCTGTTCGTGTCTATGAAAACCGTTTGGGCGCGCTACATCCCTCATGTTTTTGTACTTAAAGCCATGCTTCTTGCTGACCATACCAGATGATCCATCAATTAATTTACGGTAACGCCATTTAAGTATGTGGAGGGCGGGCCAGACCGCGAGGCACAGGAGGTAGTATAAGATACCAGTTCGTATATTTAAATGTAGTTACCGTATGTTTAAATGAATTGGATTCCGTATGTTTGAATGGCCGGGCGGGCCAAGGAAAACCTTCCCGGAGGTAGTCTAAAATACTTGTTCGTAATATTTTAAAATCCGTATATTTAAATGTAGTTACCGTATATATGATATATTTTCCAGCACCGCAAGATCGCCCATTTGGATCAGCGCGCCAGCACACAACATTCATGTTTTACCACAGAAAGCTCTTTGTCCTACCTTTTGGTGGGTAAAAGGACTCATGTTGAGCCATTTTCATGACAATCATTTGCGTGCTCCAAAAACAAAGCCTTTTTTTTTTGCCTCCAAGTCATGTACAGTGGTATTCCCAAATAGCGGTGTATGTATCCATCTAGCATTGGTTTCCCCGAGCCAAATGACCACTAGTGGGGACAACTTGAGGCCCCTGACATTTCGGAAAGCCCATATTTGGGGGGATCTGGGCGGATCGTTGGGGTAATATCTTCTGACTAGCCATGGCCATGGCATGCCATGGCCATGTATCCCATTCACCCTCTGGTAATTTTGCATATGGAAAATCGTGTCTAAAAAATGTGGCAAATGGGTTTGTCTGAAAATAGGGTATATTCCCAAGTATAGCCATTTAATAGGGATAATGATCATTAACCATTGGGTTTAGGGGTACACTATTTTCAGACACACCCAAATGAATGCAAATGAATAGCGTCGCCTCAATGTCGCCCTGATTTTAGCGGTAGAGGTGCTGTTGAGCTTCATCGCCGGCAGCTTGACCGGAAGCTTCGCAGAGGTGATGACGAATCCACCGGACCAGGCGGGAAGCAGGGTGAACGTTGATTTCTGAATGCTACTGTATATATCAGTGTATGTACTGGATATATGATATATTAATGTATATGTATTATATATATATATATGATATGATATATATATATATACTGGTTGGTGGTTTCAAACATGAATGTTGTTGTTCCATAATATATGATAGTGTATGTATATGTATATAATGTATATAGATTATATATATATATGGTGATAAGTGATAATGTATATAGATTATATATGGTGATAGATTATATGCATATAATATATATATATATACACACTGGTTGGTGGGTTGGAACATGGCTTTTATGACTTTCCATTCAGTTGGGAATTTCATCATCCCAATTGATGAACTCATATTTTTCAGAGGGGTTGAAGCCACCAACCAGTACATATATGTATATACTGTATACATGTATATGTATGTATATAATGTATATAGTATTATATATAGTGATAGTGTATGACTGGGGGGGGGTCCATAGACATGGGAGCACCCGAATAGCTGGATGGTTTATACTGGAAAATCCTATTAAAATGGATGAATTGAGGGTACCCCATTAAAAGAAAAAACATATGTACACGTATAGTGATATGCAATGGGGATGCGGCATGCTATTTATATAATCGTAAAGAAGGGGGATATAAACCAACAATACTATGTATTTGGGTGTTACTGGAAATGGGTGGTATACACCCAAAAAGTGCACCTCTGAATTGGAAAAATGACGATGATAAACCCATGGGATTAAAAATTGGTAGCCCTTTTTTAGATTTAGTTCATGTCCTTTGATTCATAATTGTTCATCTATCAAACATCAACAGCTCACTGTCATTATTTTTAAATATACCAGATATGGCCCATTGGCATCCCATTAATACTGCTACACTTGGTTTATGGTAGCTTGCAACTGGCGTTGATAAAATAACATCCAGCTGTATCAACTCAGATTTGCCTTAAGACCAGTTGGTTCTTTAATACTCACCAATACATAAACAGGGTTTATGTGACCAGACGTTTATCCTGGTTTATCAATTCTTCACAACGAAGACTTCAGCTTACCGGGCCGTCCAGATCCGGACTTGTCATGCATGTGATCAAGGTCTTGTCGTTGCAGAATGATGAATTCTCAACTTGGATGATTTGTAGCGATGGTTTCCCGAATTGTCATTGATAGCAATTGATAGCCATATATATATAGAGATCAATTTTTTTATCAATATAAATTGATCAGCATTATCGATCCCTCAATTTGGACAAAATTGGGACTGGTTTTGGATAGTTTACTCAGATCGGGATGATCTGAGAACTGTCAAGATTTGTGGAATGCTCAGCATCCATCACAAACATCCATCATGAGTATTTACACCCGTTGAGTTTCAAATGACTTTACTTCGAGTGATCCCCACCCTGACACACTATTCTGACATAGTTTCTGACATAACATCTGGAAGTATATGTGGCATATGTATTCTGACATTCTTTCCGGCACATACTCGGACATTCTAGCTGACATTTTTTCTGGCATCTACTCTGGCATTGTATCTGGCATCCAATCTGACATTCTTTCTGGCATCTAATCTGGCAATTTGGCATCTATTCTGACATTCTATCTGGCATTCTATCTACAGTAGCATTCATTCTGGCATTCTGGAGCTGGCAATAAGGTGTTGGGGTCCAGGCGTGACCCACTGCATCCGGAGCTGGCAGAAGCAAGAGACCCTCACCTGGCAGGTGGGGAAAAATGGTGGCTGACCAGCCAGATTTGGCAGATCAAATTACGCAAAGATGTCCCAAAGTTGGCCGGCCAGAGTTGGCCAAGGTTTGATTGAGCCACAAATTCAGAAACCTATGGACCCCCCAACATCTGGATGGTGTTTTAGGGTTTCATAGGGTTTCACATCCTTTGATCTCCCCTGGCGCACTGGAAATCATGGATAATCCCGAAAAAGTGCATGGTGTGCATGATTTTAGTCTCAATCATGGTGGCTTTGCAACTTGGAGTGCAAGAGGGTATGGCATTTATTTGTTGAATATATAGTGGCTTTTGTTATTTGTGCGCATGTACTGCAGGGAAAACGACTTTTCGGGCGAAAATACTGTGTGTCTCAATTTGGGGGAACACGAGGAAAGTCAAGGTTGGAGGTTTGGAAAGCATAGAAATTAGGTTCGCCAGACCAGGGGTGCAATGGTATAGTCTGACCAGCAGGTGCTGCTAAGCCCCTGCTTTCACGCAGAATACATCATGAATACATCCAACATCATCCAACCATATCCAGTTAAGGCCGTGTTGATGTTTGTACTCAAGTAATTTTTCGGGGCGACCTTCAAGAAAATTGGTCAATGATCAAGTTACGAAGTCAGGGAATGCTTTTTTCGAGGGTCCATCATGGTCCATCCCACCTTTTGCAGTCACCGAAGAAGAGCTTCCATTGTTCAATATATTATATGTCATATTAAATGATATAGCCGATATAGCTTTCATAATATGAGGACGATGAGGACGATAGTAACATATAGTAACCTCAAATAACTTCATACAACCTCAAATATTCCCATGGATTCCCCCATGTTTGACATTGTTTGACCGTCGATGGCTCATATTCAAAACGACCCCCCTGAGGCACCCGGTGGTTGAAATGCCAAGCAATCCATGAAGTCCACTTAAAAATGTTCCTCGGGCTACCCCCATCATCCATTGTTTGGTGGTGATTTTCCACTAAATAAACCATCCAGCTATTGGGCCCCATGACGATGGAAACGGAGGGCTTTCAGCCCATGTCTGAAGGTGAAGACGATGACCCAAGCTGGTGTGTTTGGACCTTACGATCCATGGCTTCGCGATGTCTATAACTATCTGCGTATAACGACCTCACTCTTCTCCCTGCAGTGGCTAGGATTGGGATAACTATCCCAATCTAGCCCAACTGTTCAGGTCAGTGAATTAGTAGAATTTACCTAGATCCATAGAGTTGGGAAGAAAAGAAAGGAACAGGCGCCGGATCCAGAGCCGCCAGTGGAACTCTGGTACGGGATTGATGAGAAAGTTTTTGATGGCCTATCCATAAAGTCTCCACCACGGTGATTTTGCAGACAGTGTTGGTAAATTGAGCATACAAATTCAACCTTCCAAAATTGAGCACACCAAAATTCAACAACTTCCAGCCGTTCTATGCCTTCTATTTACCTCTCAACACTCCGAAGTCAGTTTTGATATTCTTCAAGCACACCTATTTCATCACACGCCATTGGTCAAGATGGGGCTGTTTTCTGGGTTTGCCATGGTTTGCCAAAATCCCCAACAGTTGATCCTGAGACAAGCCCCTTGCAGGCCGTTCTTCGATGCCGTCCAATTGGCTGCAAGACATCCCTTCCGCGGTGCAGGCTTTGCAGGTTTGCGCAAGGCAAGTCTCGGAGATTCCGTGGGATGGATGTGGGATTCACCATGATTCACCATGACGCCATGACGCCAGCTTTAAAGCTGGCCATGGCTGGCCACATCAAAAAAAAACAGTCAAAATCATTCAATATTTTGCAGATGTATGCTACACCGTATTTGTATGTGTATGGCAATGGGTGTGGCTTTGTGTGTGTGCCAGGGCCCACTTCATATGTATAGATTGCATCGATCTTCGCCGAGGGTATCATCCGCGGCATCAACTGGGGTGGCCTTGCATTCTTCATGCATGTTGCGGTCTCAGATATCTTCGGAGACGGACCGAAGTCCTCACATTTTAGAGGGTCAAAAAGTCAAAAAGGGGTGTTTTCTAAAGGAATGGCAGGAAACACAGTGAAAAACTATGAAAAACTATTGTTTTTGGAGGGTTACTAGTAGCTGATTAAATGATACTAAATGTATCGTTAGTAGTTTTCGTGAGTTAATTCTATGGTTTGGGCCATCCCCAAGTTCAAGAATCACCCGTATTGTCCTATGTGGTCGCAATTTCCCCCGGACTAATGTGGTAGGGCTGAATACTTTGAGCCATTGATCAAGGATCCATCTTGGTGCGAGTCAGAAGTTGGATGAAGTTGGGTACACAATTGTCTTGATGGACCCTAGATGACTTTTTTTTCTGTCGGAAACTTGGACGATTTGAGCAATGGTGATCACAAGAGGGGGGATTGACCAATTGGCTGAGTTCCTTTGCCAGTTCTTCCCAGCACATCGAAGAAAGATATTGGTCAAAGCACCCCATGGAACCAGGTGAACCAGACATTTTAGAATAATCCGTGCGGCTTATCATGGCTTATCCATAGAATCAATAGGGCTTATTGAATCGAATGATTGTTATTCATGGTTTTTTCATTGTTTTTTTCTCCAATTCCAATCTTCCAATCCAATTCCGGTCGTGACTTCACCAAGCCTTCGCTGCGAGGTCTTCGAGTGGATGTACCGAAAGTCCATTGCCGTCCGGACCGGCCGCAAGTTGGGATCTTAGAGCAGCAAAAAAAAAAACGGTGTAAAACTGAGGAACATGAGCGAACAAATGGGAGGATCATCTATTGATCATCTCTATAAATGGGTGATTTCATGTGATTTATGAATTATTTATGATGATTTTATGGTGATTTTCCATTGCTAATGGTATGCATGGTGGAGTTGGCGGCCTCAAATCCTGTGAGGCGACAAATCTCCTGGAACCGGGATGAGCTCGAGACTCAAACTCAGTTTGTTCGATCAGTCAGTCAGCAAGCAGAGAATTAGAACAGTCACTGCCAGCCACTGCATGCCGAAGATGCTGGAAATATCTGGAAAATTCTGGGAAATATCTGGAATCTGGAGGAGGGTCGAGGACAGATGTACTACTGTATACCAGTGCAATTTTGGGTCAGAAACGAAAATGGAGAACTGATGAAGACAAGTTTCGAATGGCGATACGACAGATATCGATAGATGCCCGTTGTGCGTCCGCAACGATCCCATTCATAGCTGTCATAGCTACAAGTCATCTTTAGATTCGCAGTTTTCAGCGATAGCTTACTATAATTTCATCCAATTCAATATTCAAAGATTTATTGTTCGGAAAAAGAGACTCTTCAATCTTCCATATGTTCATATAGGATCGCTAATGTTTAATGAACTATCTACTTCAGGCTGAAATCATCTCTATTTCTCGTTGTCTTATCTTCGAAGCGGCTTCAACTCTTGAGCTTTGCGTCGCTGACAGCAGCTGACACAGTTTCCCCGCTGCCTTTAGCAGCGACTTAGTTTCTCCGCGTGCCGGAAAAAGATGAAAAGTGTCATCTTTGCAGATGACTGAGTTTGGTTTGGAAAGGTTTAGTGGGTATACAACCGTTTTGAACTTGTGGTCGTAGCCCAATTTTGACACAATTGTATGTTGTTCAACTATGTTCAAATTGATTGGAAAAACATGAAAACCATTGAAAACCCACTTTCTATGGGCAAAAAGCCTTTGAGCTTGGGTCTTTCCCGGCAGGAGCAGTTGAAGCTGATTGCAGATCACATGGCATCCGCCGCTTGTCCGTGGGACGAGCTGAAGCTCAGGTAGTGATGGTTTACCTCTTGCCACTTGGGATATAATTAGTGGGGACATAATCGGAATGTATATTGTGTATACCCTCTGGTTATTTAACATAGCCATGGAAAATGGCCCATTTATAGATGGTTTACCTATTTAAAATGGTGATTTTCCGTGGCTATGTTAAACAACCAAATCGTACTTTTATATTTTATATACTGATATGCAATGGGGATGCGACCTACTATCTATAATGGTAAATAATAGGCATATAAGCTAACAAGCTGATGTATTTGGGTATGTCTGAAAATGGGGTATACCCCCACATGGCAACTTTTCTTGGGGAAAATGACGATGAATTCACCAATGATTTGGAGGGTGCTCGTTCTCTTCAGACAACCTGCTGGTGCCCTGGACCTGATCGTACTGCCACCCCGAACATGTAAGCGTGGTGATATGTGGCATAGCTGCGCTATCATAGCGGCTAAAAACTTCTGGATTTTGACATGTTTTGATCATTTTTTCTCATTTGTTCATACCTTTGAGGCAACTATGGCAGTTTGAGGCAACTGGAACAAAGCCTGAAACCAGTGAAACCGGGCTTCTGGACCGCAATTCCTGGCTTCCTGGCATCGCATCAGGTGCCTTTAGATTTGGCTCAGCTGGACATGCAGAGCTTTGCCGAGGCCTGCGGGCACTTCGGGCACTGCTGGGGCGAGTGGTGGGGCGAGATGTAGCACCAAAGTGCTGAGAAAAACATGTGCTGGCAAGATGTATTAGCGTTCTTTTTTATTGTTTCTATATGTTTCTATAGTTTGTGGTGATCATATGGAAATGGTCGAAAGAATATATACATGAATCATAATTGAATTATATATATATATATTAATTTGAATTAATATCGCATATCGCAAAGATATATATTATATGTATATGCATACATATGTATATATATATACATATGCCAATGCCGAGATATAATGGATAATACAGAATGTTATGGGCTCAACGCCTCATGACCAGGAATCCTAAAACCAAAAGGAACCATCCAAAAATCAAAGGAAAAGGTGAAGAAATCCCTGCAGAAAGTATATTAAAATACGTAATTCCAATGAATTGGCCAATATTGTCCACAACAAAACCTTCATATCAAGATTATTTGAATTCTGGTCGCCTTCGAATTGTACGAAGTCAGAGAGTTCCAAGTCAGTTCTAATGATTCCAATGGCAATTGGTTTGCCAGATTGGCTCATTTCAACTCATTTCAATCAGCCATATATTGGATATATTGGGACATAGATTGTCAGATTCGAATTTTCAAAAACAAAAACAATAAGAAGAAGAAGAAGAAGAAAAACACAATAACCATGATAATATATAATTAAAATAATATAGTATAATATAGTAATAATAATGATTAATGATGATAGTAATTAATAATGATGATAATTGAACATTTGGGTTTCTCCAGCTCCCAAGTGTTCAGATGCGTTCAGGCTCGCGGTTGGCACAAGCTTGGCTTCGCCCCTGCGTGGTATCAACGTGCAATGGAGGCCATGGGCCCCAAAGACGTGGGAATTTGGAGAAACCTCGGGGAATGGTAGTCAACGGAGGTTGATGGCCAGATTTCTACCAGAAATCTTCTGAGGGAGGAGCTTAATGGAGATTACATAGGAATACAATCCAAAAGTCAAGCTTTCTGCCGGGTATCCCATGTCCGTTACCACGAATCATGGGCAGGTTGGTAAGATTTTGTCCCTGATTCATTGGGGATTCCCGCGCCTTAGGGGCCTCCCAATCGGCCTCCCTACAGTCGCTCGAGAGCAACTCACATGGTCTGGAAACATGTCCCTCTCGGTCATTATGCAGGCAATTTGGGCTGATTCTTGGCCACCTTGCACTGGAATTTGTGAGGAAACCACGTACCCATAGGATCCATGTATGCCATATATGGTAACATTTACCATTAATATACCCCCCATGTTAGCATATATATACCATACATGGATCCTATGGGGTATGAAAGCACCACATGAAACGCAGAAGCCACGGCACAGGTGCAAAAGCTCTTCGATGAATTGATTCGCGAATTTGCCCAGGGGGCCTTCGAGGGTCAGGGAGCTCAGATGGCCGCCTGTTGTGGTGAAACCCCAATGGACACAGGGAGGTCCCCGGATCCAATAACCTCCCTAGCGGCCAATGTTGAATCATTGGTAAATGAACATTCGTAATGGGAAATGGATGGAAATGCCGAATGTTCCGTGGCTTTTTGTTGTGTTTTTTTTGTCCCCAAAAAATCACTGCTTGAGTCGAATGACCATCATGACGTGGTCGCAGGGGACGATGCCAACCTGGTCAAAGATGAGGGGGTGGTCATGTGGTGGGTTCCAACCTGAGACGGCGAGAAATCGCGTCAGAAAACTTGAGCACCAAGAAACTGGCATGGGTCAAATTGGGAATTTTTGTCAAAATGATGTTCAAAATGGTGACCATGAAAAAGGCATAAGCAAAAACAACTGCGGCATTGCCTTTTCATGCATTTTTCCAGGAGACTTGGTGAACTTAGCTGTTCTGGCTAATTTCTAGAGGATTTCCACGAAATTTCAGCAAACACTGAAGTCCACTAAAAAAATCTAGGAGTTGGATGCTTCAGGATATATATATATATATATGCACATGATTGCACATATGTTTTTTGAAACATTTTTATTTGGATGTGCCGGTGGCATATGCCAGTGGCAACTGCTTGCCGCTCGCGCCAAGAAAAGCCTTTATGAGAAAATGCCATCGTTTCGAAGGGCGGCTGAAGGCGCCGCAACTGCAGCGGCTTTGTAAATACAAAAATATGCTGCACGCATACATATTTGCGTATATACATATATAATCATATATATATATACGTGTGTGTGTGTTTGTGTGGGTGTACAATCGTCGAGTATTATTTGTTCAATATTGTTTGTATGTATATACACATGTAACAATGTATGATTGTATGGGTATCTGATCTGGTGACATGTGGGAATATTTCACAGCCATGAAGCAGGAGGTTTGATGATTGTGATGGAATTCCAAGTGCTTTCTGGATGGTTCCTTTCTAATCCAATGGCTGACTTTTCCCATCCAAAATCTGGAATCCAAAATACCACAATCCAAACTTGGTCCAATCAAAGCGGCCAACTTCAAGATTGTTTGTTCGACTTTTGATGTCTCAATGGCTCAAACATGCTCAAACGGTCTTGATCATCTTGATCATATGAAACAGCTCCGCAATTCCCTGTTGATGCCCTTGGAATCCAGGATGTGATTCCAGGCAATCCTAGAGGGTACTGAACATCCATCCAAGTCTTTCGGGCTATTCGAAGCCTCCATTTCAACATAGTTATTTGGGTGTTACCTGAATTTTCAGGGCACCTCATTCCATCCGCTGATTATGAATCGTATTTACTCATATCTACTCATGGCATGAAACATCCCTACTACGATGGCCCGGCCCATGACAGCCCTGACTTGTCCATCAGGCCGTTGGCTCAACAGTGACAAGAAGTCCACGGGAATCGACTACGATGTGGTCGAAGCAAAGGTGCAGTGGAGTGTCCAGTGGTGTAATAGACTATTCTCACATAGCCCAAAGGGGCACTACCTCATACTACCCCTATAATTTATATTATAAATCAACCATGATTGGGGAATGTTAACCATATTTATTCATATTTATTCCATGTTTAACCCACGTTTGCTGGAATATGCTGGAATTACTGGAGCTTTTCTATGTTTTGAATCCAAATGCAGTGTTTAACCAGTGAAAATATGGTGGTTTCTCGCATCCGTATTATGGGAGTATGTTTCCATCGGATGATATTTATATAGTACTAGGGAAGGGTTATCCATTCTTGCTGGGCTGGTTTATAGCTGGTTGCCGAGCCACCAGTAAAGGAAAACATGGAAAACTGAGTCCTTGGGGACCACGACCCCTATATCTTAGGTGACTGAAACAGTTTGAGTACCGGTGAAATACCCCAGCAAATAGGTGTGAGAAAGCTCCGGTCATGGAAGACTTCTACAATTGCGCGTCTGGTAATCAAACATGGCAATGGCAATGGACAATTGCACACAATTGCCTATTTTTCTGGATGATTTTCCCAGCTACAAAATTCCATAAAATTCCATGGCTGGAGGGAATTTTCCAGCATTTTCCAGCCACGTTTGACTGAGGGTCCAGTCTTCCAGTCTTCCAGTCTTCGCCACGTTTCATTCGCTGCAGCCGTTGGTACAGCTGCGTTGTGGCCTTGGACCACTAATATTGAAGCCATGGGAGGACTTCTCTCAGCTGCAGATGAGCATCCACAGAGCACTGGGACAACGGTGGATTGCAACTGGTTAAGGCTTCAGATGGCTTCAGATTCACATGTTTTAACCATTTTTAACCTATGGGAATTGCAAAAATGATAGTTTTGTTTGGTAATTGAATGTTGTTTCTGTTTGGTAATTCCCCAAATCACTTACTCTTGTTTTGCAATTCACAATCCGTGCCATGCCTGAAAATGGGAGATTTTAGAGTGGTGAATGAAGCGAATGAATCCACGCAAAGCACCATTTGTCACTGAAATTTTGCTCGAACTGGTGTACAAATGTCCGAACGGATAGAATATGTTCAACCCTCACAAAAAATGCAAAGGAGCTGGGACAAAGACCTGACACGACATGCACATCAGCACACACATTTACCAGCAGTTCACTTGTCAGACTGTCCAGTAGCTTGAAACTCGCTCCAGATGCCATGAAACGCACTCCCTTCAACTCTCGAGACTCTCAAGGCTTTGGAGGAATGGAGTCACTGAAGCTCACTGAAGGCACAAACATCATAGGGATAGATCGGATGGACCAGTACACCATAAAAACACCCATGGCTGGGTTACATGCCTGGCTGGGTTGGTTCGCATTTCTAAAAATGCCGATGCTGAAAGCATCTCAAAGCAATTCTTGCTCGGATACTTAAACAAGGTCCAAAAGCCAAAGAAAGTGCTACATTCAAGGCATATGCAAGACCCAAACCCAAATGAGCGGAACATTGTACATCACTTGCTCGTAGAAGCGGCTGAGAGATGTTTTTGGGGTCCCCAGCTGCCAGCTGGCTTCACCAAAAAATCCACAAGGTAAGCAGTTCCTTCGCGAAGCGAGTGGCCGATTGTCCGACTTCTACGTGCGCGTGCGCGATTTGGGCGAAGGAGCGTATGGCGAAGTCTTCTTGGCGCGTCAGCGAATTCTGTCAGGGAGCCATGAACGAGACTGGTTCAGGGCTGGGTTTTGTGGTGGGTTTTGTCATGTTTTGTCCCATTTGCCCAAAAGTGGGAGGAGAATGAGGAGAAGGACCAATGATGATAACATTTTTTGGGATCTGTGAGGTGGTTAGTGGCTACGGTTATTGTATGGTTTCCTCCCAGGAAAGGGATGATGATCTTCAATTCACGATATTTTTTTCGGGTGGCTCAACCGGCCAATTGTGTCGTTTGAGGAGAGGGTCGGCTCTGCGCAGTGAAACGCGTGCGGAAGCCCAACGTCCAAGCAGGCCTTGATGCGGAGGGCGCCGATTCCGAAGAAGCCTTGGAAGAGTTTCGGGTGGAGGTGGAACTGATGAAATCCTTGGACCATCCCTCGATCTGCCGGCTACTGCAGGTCTACGAAGATCCCAAGAATTTGCGCCTTGGAAAAAGGGAAACATCAAAGGGATATAAGGGATGATTTATGGCACGATGTAACATCGTATACATCCTGGTTTACTAATGTTTATGATATTTAGCGTAACATCTGTAGAAGTATGAAATTATGACTTTTTTGTATGTATCTTGTTGACAGGAAGTGTTGATCGTTGACTCGTCCACATACCTGTTGTTATATTATCTCAGTATGTTCATCGTCATCAGCCAGGTATTTGGTGATGGAACACCTCCAGGGCGGCGAACTTTTCGAGCACGTGGTGGACGTGGGCCATTTGTCGGAGCCCACGGCAGCTCGTGTGGTGAGGCAGGTCGCTTCGGCGCTGGCATACTGCCACGAACATGGCGTGGTGCATCGGGATATCAAACCGGAGCGGGCCGAAGTTCTGCTGATGACTTGGTCGTTCATCATGTTCATCCCAGTTTGTACATGGGTTCAGTTCATTAATTGTAACATATTGTAACCCCAGTTTGAAGAGCGTTTGAAGTGGAACATAGTGGAACCCTACTTAGCCCATAACAGAGTTATAACTTATACTTGCCAAGTGGGATGAACCAGAAAGGAGGAACATGTATTTGCAGGCACTTTGGGGTCACTGTTCCGTCAATTTGACGAAGATTTATCACCATGTTAGCTCAAATTGACTAGGAATTCGATGACATTCCACACTCGTGCAGCATTTGCTGGTCGAATCCCTGTCTAATGGAGCCAAGAGGGAAGAAAGTCCAGTTGACTAGCAGTGACTAGCACTAAACAGCCCATGTTGATCCATTTTTGGGGATGGGCACCCATGGTTTCTCGCTCTAATTAGTGCCACCGGTTGGCGATGGCGATGAGTAGACTGGAAGCAACGCAGGTATGGGCAGGTTCTTTTTGGTACCCTGTTTGCCATATGTTCCATCATGCTCCATGCTGGCCGCCCAAAGCCAGCGTTGGAGCCAACAGAATCTAACCCTGGAACAGGAACTCGATGGTTCCACGGGGAAGCCTCATGGGTCAGATATGTCCAGATCCCATAGAGTTGACTATCTGAACTGTTCCCACAACGAATTGGCTATGTCTTGAATCATGTTCGTATCATGTACGTATTCTTGGATGATTGAAACTTGTCTGCAGTTTCGCAGGGAGGATCTATCAGAATCTAATGAATCTATCAGTTTATCTCAATATAGTGTATCCCCGTGATATCCCCATTAAATTAGCCCATAATTCACCATAAACTGCTGTTTTTTTTTTCCAGGAGAATATCCTGGTGGTCGATGAAGATCAAGAGCTTACAGTGAAGCTCATCGACTTTGGCTTCGGGAGTCGCATCCTAGAGGGCGTGAAATTGCGGGCCAAAGTTGGGACCTTTGTGCGCTTTGGTGAATTTTGAGATTTGTAGAATTTTGTAGATCTGAGAAGATGTGAGGTATGTGTGTAGCCCTCATCATCTAGAAAATTTGAATAATTACATCCCATATTAGGCTTGTTAGAAGATACAGTCGATACAGCGGGATGGGTTGAAGATGCTTGAAGCATGTTGAAGCTGTTCAAAGAATCAATAGCCTCAATGGTTCCTCTTTGGTGGATGGAATATATGGACTCCAGTTATAACATATTATAACTCGTTGCCATTGGCAAGATTCTGCCACCAAAAAAGGGAACACAAAAAAAAAGTCTAATATGATTCACCAGATCCACTCATATCCAGGTATAGTGCACCCGAAATTCTGAAGGGTGACTGCTGTGATGAGAAGATTGACATGTGGGCCCTGGGTTGTGTTCTCTTCGTGCTGTTGTCTGGAGATTCGCCCTTCTATGGCAGTGATTGCCAAGCGAGAAGCTCGTTTTCGATCATTGGTTTTTCTATTGGTTACGACGCGAATCTAAAGCCATCAAACTTCCAAAACAAATTTCAAAAACTCAGTGCTATGTGTGAATGATTTCCCCCATCAGAAACGATCAAAAGTCCTTCAATTCAAGACTTTGCTTAAAAACATGTTTTCTTCACAAACCGACCACCTTCAAACACTTGTCTCAGGTTCCTCATCTAGAAATCCAACCCAAATCATCCAAAACCAAGAGCCTAAAAGAAAGACCAGGAATCTTGGAAGGCCGCTACTCCATGGATGACTGGGAGGGCGTCTCCCAGGAAGCCAAAGAAGTGATCGATCTGCTGCTAAAGGTGGAGCCGAGCCGACGTCTTTCTGCTAAGGAGTTGCTGGAACATCCCTGGTTGCAGAGATCGGCACCACATCAGCAACTGGAAGCTACAGCCTTGAAACATCTCAAGGCCTTGGAAACTGGGACATCATGGGACATCATGGAGCTGCGAAAATCATGATGGAAATCAGCATTTCTTCACGATATATGATCGATCGATCTGGAAATGATGTGCTGAAAATCATGGTGAAGGTGAAATCAGTGAAATCGGATTTGGAAATAATTCTTGACATGGGGCCAGTACATGTGGTGAAATATGTGCGGGATGGCAATGTAGACAGTAAACTCAGTAGACGTTTTGATAGTGAAAGGATTATTATTGCATATTATTGCCACGCGCTTCCTCAAGAGATACCCTTTTGGATAGTTTTGGAAAGATGTTGGAATGGCAAAAAACACAACAAGATCGACAAGAACCAGGTCCATGAGGTCCATGGATGCTACAAATGTTATGATCAACTCCCTCTGAAAAAAATAGGACCAAAAAGACAAGTTTTTAAAACATAGGAGGTTTCGAAGTGAGGTGTACAGGCGGAAAGGTCATTCGTTTAGGGATCTCCGTGCCTAAGGAGTTGTGTACTATGGCAGGCGGTTCTTTCCTAGAGGATAGGGCCAGTTGAGTTTCAGAATCCCAAGCGGCCTTTGAGACCATGTTCCTCTTTGGGCTGTGCTTTGCACAACCCAAGAGGACACCATTGCAATTGCCCATGGCGGTTTAATGTGTCGATCCCGAGGAAAGCTTTCACCAGCAGAATTTCTTCCGACATTTGGCCGCTGGGGTTCTTGCCAAACAACTGGATGAAGGTGACTTACACGAGCTTCATCGGGCCTTTTGCGAAATTGACCAGGAGGGCCGAAAATGATGTTTGTTCCACCCAGGTGGATGGATTTTCCTCAGATCTAGAGATATCTACAGTATACATCAGTATACCAGTAGTACCACACAAGGCGGTGGCGGAAGCTTCAAACCTGGGAAACTTATAGGAGAGGTTGGTTGTTGTGAATCACAGATGGCAGAGCGAATCCACTGATGGACTGAAAGGTGGTTGGAGGAAAAGGAGTGAAAATTGAAGTACAAATGGTTTAAATCTGATTTTTATCCTTTTTCTGGGGTTGATGCTTGCTGTTCACCACAGAGCTTAGATATGCATTTCACCTGAATCCCACCCTTCTGTCAGAGCAGGGGCGTGCATTTGGATTCTATCCTAGCATGCTTGCGGAGCAGTCTGCTCAACTGTTTCATTTGATTTTCATCCTCTTTCCCTATCTTTCCAGCGCTTCTGTGGCTTCCTGCTACCACAAGTAGAGTGTGCTGCGATGTAGGTTCTCCTCTGGATCTCAAAGAGATTTTCGGCATGTTGTATCGTCGAGGGGCGATGCTAGCACACCTGCATCTTCTTTCTTCTCGCTCTTTCTCTTCTCTGATCTTCTTTCTTCTGCTCTTACTGACTCTTACCACCTCTTCTTTTCCATCTGTCCATATTGTCGGAAGTTTGACTTCTAAACTTCCTTCGGTAAAGGTTCCAAAGTGGCAAGTTGCACCCACCACCTGGTTTCAACATGTTTCAACTGCAGAAAAACGTGACCAGCCGACCAGCCCCACAGTGCGCCACAGCGACAGGATGAAAATGGAGTAGTGACCTTCGCTGAGTTCAAAAATGTGTTGCGAGATTTCAATCTCAACAGCAGCTGCTGGGTGGTGATTGTTGTGATTGTTTTGTCTTTTTTTGACCTACAGTATGACTCATTTTGCCTTTTTCGGATACGTTTTCTTTTAAAAAACAGAAAGTAATGGCAATAATTATGCAGCTGTACCGGTAAGATGACGACTGTCACATGGCCACATATAAAAGCATTACTATAGTATATAATATATAATATGGCATATGTCTATATATATAATATGTTATAGTATGTTTTATTATGTTATATATGATATTATATTTATATATGATATTGTGTATATATATATATGCATGTGAACTTTCACTAACGACACAATGTAGAATGTGTTTTGCAGTTGTTCGCTGCCAGGTAGTCACCCAGACTTGGATGGCTCGGGCAAGGCTGCTGAGATCTTTCGTTCTGTGGATTTGGATGGCCGGGGGGTCATTGACTACACCGAGTTCGTGGCTGCCTGTTTGGATCACAAGGTGGAGCAGGAGGAAAGTGTGACCTGGAGGAAGTACTGGTACCATGAACATTCATATATTTTGAAATAA